GAGCACTGTGCGATGTCCGAACTGATTGCACTGTATTTTATGTATGTATAATCATTTTCTATTTTTAACTGTCTTAAATTCATTTTAAATCAATTTTTAAATCATCTTCAAAGTTTTTTAATTCCTTGTTTTATTTTTGTGATTATTATTTTTTATGATTATTTTACTTTCTTTTATGTAAAGCACTTTGAATTACCATTGTTTACGAAATGTACTATATAAATAAACTTGCCTTGCCTTGCAATTAAGTAACATAAGATGAAAAACTTAAACTTATTTATTTTAGTTATTTGCCAAGGCAATATTTCTAATATGCATTTTTTCGAAGTAATAAAGAATATATATATATATATATATATATATATATATATATATATATATATATATATATATATATATATATATATATATAATATATATATATTTTTAATGTATTATACAAAGGGAAAAGTTTTTAAATGTGTTTTAAATAGGCCTATAAATGCAAATATCACAAATTATTAATTCATAAATATCATTAGGCCTACACTTTTAGGAGCTGCACAACATGACATTTTACAACCTGAACTAACCAATTAACCTTGTCTGCATGTTGGTTGCACTACAGGACTTTGATTTGGCGCACAAAAGTTTTTCATATATTAATAATCAAATCAGTGAAGCAGTTTTGTTAAATTTGTTAAACAAATAATAATAAAAGATTATGCCATATTACTTTTCTTTTCAAGAATTTCATTCTTTTAATGAGGCTTTTTATTTTATCATGTTGTCGAGAGTTGAATCACCTTGACTTTTTTCCAAAAACATTCAAATGCATTTTTATTCAGCTTTGTTGAAATCCCTGATGCCAAAAATGAAGGGTTCAACCAAAGCAAACACCATTACCTAAATTCTGTTTGAGAGTCATTGTCAGGTAGAAGCATTTTGGCCCCCTGCTACAACTGTAATTGCATTCCTCTTTCTGTATAAATCAAGCTTGAATGTAAGTGATCATGATTCATCACATGGTGTGTCTCTCTGGAAATATTATAATGAAATCTGCTGTGTCATTGAACATCATGTTTATTCTCTCATCTCATCACAATTGAATGAGCAAGGTGAACTGCGAGAGGCCAGGATCTTCCCGCATCCTCTGCGAATATGTAATTAAGGGTACTCATGTTAATTGAGGCGCTCTCTCTAAACGAGCCACTAATTGCAGAATCTGTCGCATGTGCGGAGGCATCGGACTGGAGTGGCTCACATCTGCTAATTGGTACAAACAGGTAGCAGATGCGCTCCCAGTGACAGAGCGCCTGCCAATTAGCTAAGCCACCTCGATAGGGGTGATTAGAGCCGCTTCACCAGTAGAGGAGCCATGGGAGCGCAGTGAGGAATATACGGGGAGAAACAAGAACAGAGAAGACGCCAGATTCCCAGAACCAAAAGAAGTAGGCTATGTGTGTGCCAGGGCCCTGTCGCGGACCGACTCAATGTTTACTGGAAGTAGCCAGCAGTCATGACTGTAGCATGGCTCGATTTTTCATGCCAGACAGGAAGTGGCAGGAACATTGCCAATGTGAGGAAAGTGTCCTTAATGTATCCTACAAACTTAGTAGTGGAAAGGCAATCGTCACTGTTACCAGAGACATAATGCCCATTCAATACGAGGGGGAATACTATTTTTATATTTAATACGATCACACCGGTGTGATTAGAACATTCAGTGCAGCACATCACCAGCTGCTAAAATCAAATCTGCATTCGCTTTTTGGCTGGTGCTGAGCCAGACACAGACGCGTTTTTACAGCTATCCAGCATTATAACCAATCACACATGATTCTGTTGAGCTTATGAATGCAATGGCCAATTAGAGGCATTCAGATGAGTCATCGCTGAAACGCCGGTGTTTTGTTCAGTGTGCGCGCTCGCTGACTGAATTGCGCTCTCTGGTGAATTATTTCTCATCAGAAACAACAAAGTGCAGATGTGCGAACGATGTAAGAAGGTTATTCATTTCACAGTGGAATTTTTGAGAGTGCTTGAACTCTGGCTAGACTGAAGTCATTGATAATGTTCTTTGATGGCTAATGTAAATGTTCTGTAACTTACATTTACATTTAGTCATTTAGCAGACGCTTTTATCCAAAGCGACTTACAAATGAGGACAATAGAAGCAATCAAAACTAACAAAAGAGCAACGATATGTAAGTGCATATGACAAGTCTCGGTTAGCCTAACGCAGTACACGTAGCAAGGTATATAGCCTCTCTCTCTCTCTCTCTCTCTCTCTATATATATATATATATATATATACACACACACAAACACAACCACACACACACACACACAGACACACAATACTACAAAATAACACTGCAAATTATAAAATAGTAAGCAACCAGGGCAGAAATGGAGGCACATAAACATTTCATTTTGCCCTGACCAGACTATGAACAGCGTGGATATTCTTCATGTCAGTGCAATCAGTGTGACGGCTGGTTGCCAAGGAAACGGACAACAATTCTTAGAGGCATAAACTGCGAGAAGTGCTGTTTTGCGTCACCCGGCAGTTTGCGTGCAACAACAGCCCGTCGTTTGTTTTACAGACACGCGCACACACATTCCCTTTCCGAACAGTGGCGATAATGCTGTTTATGTCATCTCTCACCGAACGGACAGGGACAATCACAATTATCTGGATATATCTGATGCGCTCGCGAGCGTGCGCGGTGACAGCCCTATGTGTTTGCGTGATATAAATAGCCCTGTTGTAGCTGGGAGGAAGGGAGTGTGAGCGACTGAACGTGTGCCATAACAATGCTATGATGTCTTCCTGTTGAGACCTGCACCCCTGGCCCCGCCCCCCACCTGCTTTAGCTGGGTAATGAAATATGTCTGCTGTGATGTATGGCTGCTGGATAGCTCCAAATCGAAAACTGAATCACACTAACTTAATTTGCGGTCAGGACAATCAAATTACTTGTTTTGGCTAGAGTATTTCAACCCGTGCTGGCGATGAATTCATCTTGGTGAGAGGCCTGTCAGAAAGAGGCATGTTTGCGGGTACCACCTCCAGCTGTAGAGAGAGCCGTGTGGTCCAGAGGGCAGCAGGATGCCGAGGGTATTATCATCCGAAAAACAGCAGTGAGGAGCATCCTGAGGCAGGCTATCCAAGATATCCTAGGAACAATATATATATATATATATATATATATAAAAAACAGTTATAGATACTGCACTTCCATATGTCGCAATTTAATGTTTCAGTGAACCAAAAATTTTTTTGACACTTAATTATGTTATTGACATAGCATAAAAAAGCTCATACAAAACAAAACAAAACCAAAACAACCTCAAAAACAACTCAAAACAAACAAACCAATCCAAAATAAAACAAACCAATTCAAAACAAAATCAACCCAACCCAACACAAACAAATCAATCAAATCCAAAAACAAAACAAAACGAAAAGCAAAATCCAATCCAATCTAAAACAAAAACTAAACTAAAAAACAATTCCAAACTAAAAAATTGAAACAAAACCAAACCAACCCAACCCAAAACAAAACAAACAAATCAATTAAATCCAAAACAAAATCCAAGCCAATCCAAAAGAAATCAAACCAATCCAAAACAAAATACAAACAAACAGTCAAAAATTAAACAAAAATCAATCCAAAACAAAACTCCAAACCTAAATCAATCAATCACCAAAACACTGGCTGATTAAAAGTCAGGATTTCCAAGTTCCTACTGGAAATGTGCAACATGGCATTTGAAGTCAGATTTCCAATGCATTAAAGTGCCCTTATTATGGATTTTTGAAAATTACCTTTCATGCAGTGTATAACACAGTTCTAAGTGCGTGAAAACATCCTGCAAAGTTTTAAATCTGAAAGTGCACTGTGTATAAATCTATTGTCTCTCAAAAGAAAGAGTCGACTCTGAATCATTGAAACAAGTCGTTTTTAAAACAAATCCCAAGCAGTTTCATGTTGATGTTAACATGAAACATTAGCATATTGCCCGCCCACTGTGCAGACCTGGGAAAACTTGATTTTCGCATTGGTCTGAATGAAAATGCAAATTCATTCTTTGCCACTAGGTGCCGCTTTTGAACTGCTTCTGTGTACAACTGTCGGCGCAAGCTACATTAAAGTGATTATTACGTTTTGAATATGGATATTTTTCTTACAAAAACGCATCGATTCGCTACAGAAGGCCTTTGTTCACCCCCCGGAGCCGTGTGAGACACTTTTTTTATGGATGGGTGCTTTTTATTTAAGTTCTTTTGGACTGAAGCACTGCAACACCCGCTGAGTGGCATTAAACAGCTTGAAAGATCAAAGACTATTCTTAATATAACTCTGACTTGATTGGTCTGAAAGAAGAAAGTCATATACACCTAGGATGCCTCGGGGGTGAGTAAAACGCAGCCTAATTTTTGGGTGAACTAACCCTTTAATTACAAAAATTACTAAAATATACTATAAATAAAATAAAAATAAATTAAAGCTAAACAGAAATATGAAAACTAAAACTAATAATACACTAAAAAACACAACAAAATAACTAAAACAAACTATATTTAATTAAAACTAAACATGTATAAATAAAAGCTAATCCAAATTATTATTTAATACTACAACTGTATAAACAATACTAACACTGCTAATGAGATACTCAAGAGATTTTTAAGTGTGACTTAAGTGTCCAAATACTTTTATGGAATATTCACATTCACATAAAACTGTGAAACATATTCTACACAAGTACATGACTGTGAATAGCAGGCCTAGTTTTAAGGCAACTATTGCGCCCTCTTGAGTACTGGAGTAAAGTCAACGCTACAGTAAGAAGTAAGCATACTTGAATAGAATATGGTTTTAGTTCACAAAAAAGCAAGAGATCAAACTTCTAAAAACCTTTTAAAAAAGTTTCAGCTTCAAAGTTTAGTCTTTAGAGTTTAAAACAGAGATATCACCAGCACAAACTTTCCAAACCGGCATCCAAAGAGCGTTTGAAGAATGCTTGTGGCCACTGCAAAGCTGTCTTCAGAGCACAGATGGTGGAGAGTGAGATGGCCACTTGTTTGCATTCCCCGTCGACGCCTGCGTCGCTCGAAGAAAGAAAATCAATCAGTGTGACAGACTCATCCCCCTCTCAAACCCTCCAGCACACGTTCACCTGTCACATCATTTATCCAACACAACTGACAGGGCTGGACACACACACACACACACACACATATTTACACACCTGATACCGCACTCGCCTCGTTTGGTCTCTTCTCTGGAGTTTCATCCTTTTAGTGCCTCTCTCTTCAAACCATTTATCAGCACTTTATGCGTTTTTGAAGAAGAAAAAGGGAATATTTGAATCAGGCCACATTTGAAACTCGAGCAAGCCTGAAAGGAAGACCGAAAACAGAAACGTGCCTCAACAATGATGCTGCTAAATGAACACAGACACACACACACACACACACACAGTTGTTTAAACAAATTTAAACACAAAGACATATTCTCTCTATATGTGCCTCAACAATGATGCTGCTAAATGAACACAGACACACACACACACACACAGTTGTTTAAACAAATTTAAACACAAAGACATATTCTCTCTATATTCAATAGCATGTTTAAATATGTATTCAGGCTCTTCTGCTGCCTCTCTCATGTTTTATTGAGAGATTCAGGCCATGTGGGGGTTTGGAAGGAAACCCTCCAATTTAGGATTAAGTTTAAAGCTGTAAACCCATCTTCATCCCTTCATCATGACTTCAGGCTCAGAGCTGCCACATTCATAACCTCACAATACATTCATAAAGCCAGTTTGGCAGCTGTCATAGACCATCAAAGAGATAAGCATTAGCATGGGAGGATCACATAAAAGTTCTGTAATAATATTTACTTTTAAAGTGAATAAATGCAAATTTATGACAGTATATGTTAAAAACTAATAATATATATATATACAGTGGGTACGGAAAGTATTCAGACCCCCTTAAATTGTTCACTCTTTGTTATATTGCAGCCATTTGCTAAAATCATTTAAGTTAATTTTTTTTCCTCATTAATGTACACACAGCACCCCATATTGACAGAAAAACACAGAATTGTTGACATTTTTGCACATTTATTAAAAAAGAAAAACTGAAATATCACATGGTCCTAAGTATTCAGACCCTTTGCTGTGACACTCATATATTTAACTCAGGTGCTGTCCATTTCTTCTGATACACAAGATGAAGCTGCTTAAAAGGGATGTCGGTACTAACCAGGACTGTATCTAAAAAACATCACATCTGCATCTCAACTGTCCTGTTTCCACCAAAACTGTTCGTAGAGAGCTCCAAAGAGTCAATATGCATAATGCATGGTCAGGCTGCTATAGCCAAACCTTCAGTCACTCGTGCAAATGCCAAACTTTGGCTTCAATGGTGCCAGCATCAAAAATCTTGACGTCTTTGAAGGTGTGCACAACATATGCTGATTACAAACTCTGAGAATCATGTAGGAGGTATAGGCGTGAAATATCTCAATCCATCTGTGGAAACAAAAAAAAACAACCTGCTGAAACACATCTATATAATGCTTCATGAACAATCCTGGATCCATAAGAAACTGGCAAAACGTTGTCAGTTTTACAGTATATATTAATACACTAAATACATGAACCGCCTTTAACCTCTCACATGTCCTGACCTGTCACTGAGCTCATGAATATGAAGCTGGGTTTGTGATATTTATTCAAGCTTAATGTTCACCTGATGTTTGTTACACGAGTTGTGCATTACATAACACACTCCAAATGGCACAGCCTCAGAGACTTCTGGAGATATGAGATCTGCAGAGTTAAAGGGGCAAGCATCATTTTATTTTGATTCATATCACTTCTAACCAACACTCACACAAGTCTCAAAGGTGACTGCTGCATTAAACGGGTGGGTGGAGGTTTTCAGATCAATATGGAAGGCCATATCCACCTGCATTACTTGTGTAACCAGACTTTTGACCTTACACATTCACTACTGTAAGTTTAGGATCGGTAAGATTTTGGTCTCTTATGCTCACCAAGGCTGCACTTATTTGATCAAAAAAATTCAGAAATAAAATATTATTACCATTTGAGAATGCAATTTATTCCTGTGATGGCAAAGCTGAATTTTCAGCCGCGATTATTCTAGCCTTCAAAATGATCCTTCAGAAGTCATTCTAATATGATTTGGTGTGCAAGAAACATTTCTAATAAATGTTGAAAACCGTAATGCATTTTTTTCAGGATTCTTTGATGACTAGAAGTTCAAAAGAACAGCATTTATTTGAAATACTTTTTTTTTAATAACAAATATTGGCCATGGACCGTCTGATGCAAATTGAGCGCAACAATGGCAAGAGCTGACTGAAATAGCCAGGTTCAAGGTATCAGGTTGATAAACCAAACATTCGACCAAGATCTAATGACTGTAATTGGCTGTTTGAAATGCTCAGTTACAAAGAAAGTCAACTCAGTATTTATGACCATAGATTTTGCAAACACTGCTGTATGGTCCGAGTAACTTCTGAAACATTATATATGTACTTATTGATATTAGATGAACAGAAAAGTCCATACATATTTTTACACATAATTACCTTACTTTGGTGGGTGGGTGGGGGTGTTTAATGACAATCTATTAATCAAAGATCTAATTTTACTTCTAAATAAAATAGTGACGCTTTAAAAATCTCTCCCAAAGGGACCCCATTGTGTGGAAATGCTAATTCCCTTTCAGGTTCTAAGATTAAAAACTGGACTGTACTATTATATTGGGATATCTTCGTGTAATGCAAATATTGTCAGCTCTTATAATAAATTGCTTACACTGTATGCCTCATTTGTAATTTGCTCAGCATAAAAGCATCTTCTACCGCGAATGAATAAATGTCATTGGGATGCACTGAAACATCAGTTTGGAATAATTCAAATGTTTAGTGTTTTAGAAAGACAGCTCTTATGCTCACCAAGGCCTCATTTATTTGATCCAAAATAAATTACTGTTAAAAAAAAACGATTGTGGAATATTATTACAATTTAAAATAACATTTTTCTATTTGAATAGATTTTAAAATATAATTCATTCCTGTGATACAAAGTTGAATTTTCAGCATCATTACTCTAGTCTTCTTTGTCACATGATACTTCAGAAATCATTCTAATATGCTGATCTGCTGCTCAAGAAAAGTTGTGTTACTTAATATTTTTGTGGAAACTGTGATACATTACCATTCAAAGGTTTGCGTTAAATATGATAAAAAAAAACTAAATTAATACTTTTATTCAGCAAGGATACAATAAATTGGAAAAAGTGACAGTAAAGACATTTATAATATTATTTTAAAAAGCACATTCTGTTCTTTTGAGCTTTCTATTCTTCAAAGAATCCTGTTTTCACAAAAATATTAAGCAGTAAAAATAGTTTTCAACATTGATAAGAACCATTATTTAATTCTAATATTTCCCAAATTACAGTTTTTAATGCATTTTTGATCAAATAAATGCAGCCTTTGAACTTCCTTCCTTCCTTCAAAAAAAAAAAAAAACCCCAGGACATCCAGCGCTACCACTTCCTGAAAGTACTCAGATGTCAACCAAGCAGATTGTAACTGCAGATTTCAGCCAGCTCTTGCCAAAAACCAGATCTCCACCTGCAAACTCCCGTATGTTCACGAGCGAGAACACGGTCATACGGAACACTATGACTCCCGACTTCTTGACCTTCTGTTCAGGTTGTGTAAAAAACAGAGGAGAGTATTCTGTTAATGGCACAGCGTCTTAATGTTCTGTTACTTCAGACATGTTCAGTGACTACTCAAAGCCAACAATCAAACCATTATCCCTCCATCTGCAGATAAGAGACAAACAGAGCGACACACACAGGTGGAGAGAGAGAAAACGTGGGTTGAGCTGTCAGTCACTGATTAGCTACTGGATGGGAACCAGGAGGAAATAAGGATAGAGAGATGGAGAGAGAGAGAGCGAGAGAGAGAGAGAGAGAGAGAGAGAGA